GTGCTGGGCCCTACTGCTGGCCCTTCAGCCTGCTGCACATGCGCGTGAATGTTCTGCCTTCTCTCTGCCAGTTTTGCTCTGTCGTGTTCAGGAATAAGAGTTCTGCCTGTCCTTGCTTCGTGTGTAATTTTCCCTCATTGTGGCAGTTCATAGTTCTCAGCACGTGCACACTGTGTAGCAGCATGGTTGCCTATATGGCGAACCGTCGACAGGGGGTTAAACAAAGTTTTAACGGCCCCAGCCAGAGCCGCGATTCTTCCAGTGGAACGTCAGACGGCTTGAGTGGCTTGAGTGCTGCTGCTCCTCCCTCTCCTCCTCCTCCTCCTCCTCCTCCTCCTCCTCCTCCTCCTCCTCCTCCTCCTGATATTCCTCCTCCTCCTCCTCCTCCTCCTCCTCCTCCTCCTCCTCCCGCCCCTCATCCGCATTCCCCGCCCGCTTCCTGAGCGGTGGCGACGAGGGCGAGCCCCCCGAAGCTCGTAGCAGCACGGGAACGAGGAGCAGGAAACTCCTCCCGGAGCGCTCCTTCTGCGAGGGGCAACGATAGGGGGGGGGACCCGCTCTGGGGGGAAACGCCGAGCTGAAATCGGCGATACATCGCCGAAAAATCGGCGATAGGCCTCCGAAAGCGAATGCGCAAGGTCACCATCGGGGTGGGCCATCGGGCATCTATCGGCGACGGTGGGCGATTGGGGATCGATGTGCTCCAGGATGCGCCCATACCCCCCTAAAGTTGCCACTAATGCACCCCTACATCCCTCCCTTGTTCTTGAGCTGTGCTTTCTTGGGCGCCCCACGACGGGCCAGGAGGCCTCCAAAACGGCCCAACAGAGCCCCAAGACTGCCCGAAAGGCAATCAAAAAGAGCCAAGGAGACCGTGGATGGCCTCGAGAGGGGCTGAAGCGGGGGAAGGGGAAGGGGCTGAAGAGGGGGAAATGGAAGGGGCCCAGAGGCCAAAAAGAATACGCGAGAGACCGCCGAGGAGCTCCCCTAAGAGCGCCGCAATGGGCCCCAAGACGCTCCCGAGAGGCCCCAAGAGGCCCCAGAAAGCCCCGAGAAGGCGCACGGGGCCTCCCGGAAGCCGCAGGACACTCGCGAGAGGCATCCAGAAGTGGAGTCTCCTTGGATTCCCTTCTCTCGCCATCGCTCGGACGTCCATTCCCTGTGTTTGTTTTGATGTCGCGCGTGGCTTGTTTCTCCAAATGATCAAGGATGCTCCTCGATGGCCCTCGCCGAAGGAAAAATGCACACGTCCGAGCGATGCCAAGTTCTGAACCCTCGCAAAACACCCAAGCACACTTTCAAAAGGCCCCCTCCGCCGACTCTGATCCCGCACCTCCCCGCCCCCGTGTTCCATCATCATGTTCCTCCACCTTCTCCTCCTGGCTCCTCCTGGCTCCTCCTGACTCCTCCTCCTCCTCCTCCCTCCTCCTCCTCCTCCTCCTCCTCCTCCTCCTCCTCCTCACTCCTCCCCATCGCCTCCTCCTGCGCCTCCGCCTCCTAGTCCTCCTCCTTCTGGTCGTCAGTATCACCACCACCACCACCATCATCATCACCACCACCATCACCATCACCATCATCATCACCATGGTCATAATCAGCAGCAGCAGCATCATCATCAGCAGCAGCATCATCAGCAGTCGCATCACCACCATCATCATCATAATCAGCATCCTCACCACCAGCAACAGCATCATCATGCTCATCATCATGTTCATCGTCTGTAACATCATCATCATCATCATCATCATCATCATCATCATCATCATCGTCATCATCATCATGATCGGATTCAGAATCATCAGCATCACAATTATCAACATCATCAGCAGCATCACCAGCATCATCATCACCATCATCAACATCACCTGCATCATCAGCAGCAGCATTATCATCAGTATTATCGTTCTCAGCATTATCAGCAGCATCATCATCAGCATCAGCAGCATCGTCACCATCACCATCACTATCACAATCAGCATCATCAGCAGCGTAATCAGCATCCTCCTAGCCATCTTCATCATCATCATCATCATCAGCATCAGCATCAGCATCAGCATCATCATCATCATCATCAATCATCATCATCATCATCATCATCATCATCATCATCATCCTCATCCTCATCATCATTATCATAGCCAGCAACAACAGCGTCATTCTCAGCGTCAGCACAGCCGCCATCATAAGAACCATCATCACCATCCACATCATACTAACCATGTGTTTCAGCATCCGCATCATCATCAGCATCATCGGCATCACCAGCATCATCATCAGCATCATAATGATCAGTATCGCCATCATCACCATCATCATCATCATCATCATCATCATAATCATCATCATCGTCATCATCATCAGCATCATCATAATCATCATCAGCGTCGTCATCAGCATCGTCAGCACCATCATCAGCAGCATCGTCATGATCATCATCCTTATCAGCTTAACATCATCATCAGTAGCGTCCCCATCATCACCAAGGTCATCATCACCACCACCATCACCACCACAATCAGCATCAGCATCATCAGCATCATCAACAACACCATCAACTTCATACTCCTCCGCATCCTGATTATCCTGCCCATGATCATCATCCTCATCAACATCAGCAGCATCATCGCCATCCACATCATCATCATCATCATCACCATCTTCATCTTCATCAGCATCATCATCATCATCAGCATCATCATCACCATCACCATATTCATCATCATCACAACTACCATCCTCACCAGCATCAGCATCAGCATCAGCATCAACACCAGCATCATCATCATCATCAGCATCATCATCATCATCATCATCGTCATCATCGTCATCATCAGCATCAGCATCAGCATCATCATCAGTGTCTCCTGCCCAGATGTTTTGCTGCCAGAAGATGGGCGCTGTCTGAATCCGCCGACAAGCGCCGCTTGCCAGAGATGCAGAAGCGTTTTGACATGATAGGCTGTCCCACTCCCTCTTTCCCCCTCCCCTGAGGTCAAACACCCTGTCAGAAGGGGGAGACCCGGGAGGGACTTGCAAGGATATCGAAGCCCACAATGGCTGAAACCCACTCGTCATGTAAGACATTCTAGCCCCTACCTAGCAATTTCTATTGGCTCCTCACACCATCTGGGAGTTGGCGGAATTGCGTAAGCCTCTTGAATCAAAGGTGTGTGCCTCTGGCGGCCATCTTGAGGCTCTTCTGGGGCCTTCTTGAAAGCCTGCTGGGTCGTGTTGTGGCCATCTTGGGGCCATGTGGGAGCCGTCCTCGGGCTCTCTGGTCCATCTGGGGAACCCCCGGCGAACCCTCCCTCCGGGGCCTGCGCGGCGTCCGGAAGAGTGCGGCGGCTAGCCGGGGAGGCCTAGGTGCCCAGGTGCGCGGAGGGGGGGCGTCCGAAAGGGGTCCACAGGTTTTCGAGGGGGGGGGGGCATCCAGGGGGGGGGGGGGGGGGGGCATGCATGATGTATCATTACATGGATACGTGTGTGTGCGCGTATGTATCTACACCCTCTGAACGAAGGACCCCCATGATACCCATGGCGTGGACCCTACCACCCTACCGCTCGCTGCTCAGGGTACGCTCCTGGAGGAACAAAAGACAACAGACACATAAGCTGTGGGAGGTCCGTGTGGATTGCTTGGATTTCCCTGGCGCGCGGAGCGCGGCAAGGCTGCTGCTGGAGGTGCCGCCAGGGGGGCCCAACTCAGACCCGAGAAATCCGCGCGGAGGAGGAGCAGGAGGAGGAGGAGGAGGAGGAGGAGGAGGAGGAGGAGGAGGTTATGCCGCTTTGTTCCCCGAACGCCCCTACCGCTCGCTGTTCAAGGCGATCCTCCTCCGCCTCCTCCCTCCCCTCCTCCAGCCCCCGCTTCGCCTCGGCTTGCCCCGACGAGGGGCATTCAGCCCGCCAGCTCGGCCGCGCCACTCGCGCGCTCCCTCGCGCGTCAGGCAGGCAAGCCGCGTCGGCGTCGTCAGAGGGGGATGAAATCATCTACTATCGGAGAAAGAGCCGCGGCGACAGGGGAGGGGCCCGCAACCCCCGCAACCACAACAAAACTCTCGAGTCCGAAGGGGTTACCTCGCACAAATTCGTTCCCCGAACCTCTCCCCTGGAGCGCTGATGCAATGTCTCGCCCCAGGTCCGCCCGGTTTTGAAAATCCTGGGGCCCAGCAGCGGCCACCAGGAACCAACATCTCTCAGAAACAAAAGCTGTTCAAACAAACATCTCTGACCCCGTGCGGATATGCGCACCCGACAAGGTCAGATTATCCTTAGGTCAGGCATGTCCCCCTACAGATTGGACGAAAATTGGGTAATAGCCAAAAATACACAAAATTAGTCGGACAAATCGAAAAACATGATTTTATAAGATTGTTTCACCTTTTTGTTGACTATTCCTCCTGTAGATCGGGAGCGGCCAAGAGGGGGGGGGGCAAATCATGACCGGCGGCATGTGCGCGGCCCAGCGGGGGGGCCAGGCACGTAATGAAATAAGAAGAGGCGCCATGACATCTGGGGAAATATCATGGCCCCCGCCATGATATCCACCCCCCCTAGTCATCACCCCCCTCTTTTCCGCCCCCGAGTAGAGGGACACGCCCAACTCACGATTACCCAGGGAAACGGGGGGAGAGGCGGGCGGGCCCGATAGCCTGCTCCAGCGCCGGACCCTCGAAGAACAACAGTCGCTGAGCACGAGCCGACGCGAAGGGAGGAAGGAGCACGGGAACGACCGCCCGCTCGACACGCCAGCATCAAGGGGAGCATGCTTCGGGGGCGGCAAAGAGGGGGGCGTCCAAGAGGGGGGGTGCAAATCATGGCTGGCGGCATGTGCGCGGCCCAGCGGGGGGGCCAGGGACGTAATGAAACAAGAAGAGGCGCCATGAAATCTGGGGAAGTATCATGGCCCACGCCATGATATCCACCCCCACCTAGTCATCACCCCCCTCTTTTCCGCCCCCGAATGCTGGAGGGAGAGGAGGGCGCCGGGCCGATGCCCGCGCCTACTTCTGCCTCTTGAGCGTGGCCGCGGCTCTCTTCCACTGCATGCCCGGCGACGCGAGCATCGAGGGGTCGTCGGGCGCTTTGAACGTGGGGGGCCTCCCCAGACGATGACACCGACGACGACGACGCTGCCGCCGCCGCCGACGACGACGACGACGCTGCCGCCGCCGCTGACGTCTGACGCCGATGCCGACGGCGACGCTGACGCCGACGACGACCACGACGACGCCGACGTCGCCGCACCCGACGACGACGACGCCGCTGCCGCCGCCGACGAAGACGACAACGACGACGACGGCGGCGGCGGCGGCAAAGCCGCCTTCATGGGGTACAGAGCTCCCTTCGCAGGACCTGCCATCGCTCGAACGCCTGCTCCCCGTGCCAAATGTTCGGCTTCGCGCGTGGTCTCTCTGCCAGATGACCCAGGATTGAAGGGGCCCTGGGACACACAAATAAATACACACAAATAAAAAGATTGTCCATATTTTCCCATATGTTCTGTGTTTTTGTCTTCCCCCCCACTTCCCATATTTTCCTTGGGGATCGACGATTAATTGTGTCTGTGTGTTGCTTCCCCTTCTGAGTGATGCCCTTCGATGGCCCTCGCCGAGAGAGACATGCACACGTCCGAGCGATGCCAAAGAGAACCTCGGGCGCCTTCCGCACCACCGCTGGCACCGAGAGCTGCTGGGGCACCGGGCACCGACGCCGCCCCACCCCCGAGGACGAGGGCAGAGAGGTCTCCGCTGTGGTGCGCTTCGGGAAGCAGTACCAGAATCAATCACACACCCGGCCATCGCTGGAACGTCCTTTCCCCGCGCATGTTTCGATGCCGTGCGCGTTTGTGTTCGCAGGATGGCCCAAGACGTTCCTCGATGGTCGTCGCCCCCCAAAACTGCGCGCCCGAGCGATGCCAAGGCACAGCCTTGGGGGCCCATCAGCGCGCCACTGCTGCAGAATGGGATCAGCAAGGCCTGCCTAAGCAAGTACTCCCGAAGATCCGCGCAGACTTCACGGATCGGCTCTGGACCCCACTCCCCGGAGCGCGCATCGCGCCGGTGGCGGCGCCGGAAGCGCCCCCCGGGGGGGCCCAGCGCAGAGCTCCGTTTTTGGAACAGTGGGCTGGCCATCGCTCGGACGTCCATTCCCTGTGCTTTTTTCGATTTCGTGCGTGGTTTTTTCGCCAAATGATCGAGGATGCTCCTCGATGGTTCTCGCCGAAGGAAACATGCACACGTCCGAGCGATGCCAAGTGGGAAACCGACCCCAGCCCCCACAGCAGTGGATTTTAGATGTCAGCGCTTGTTTTGCAATTACGGCGAATGTGCGTAAGTGTATTACCAGCCTGGAAGATATCCCTATCCCTAAGCCGGGCATCGCCTCGTCACAATGCCAACCTTAGGGATTCCCTTAGTTTTTCAGGGAGCATCCCTAAGATTGTCATCGCCTTTTGGCGTGTCAATCTTAGGGATAGGGATAAGTTCGAGGCTGGTGAGTGCAGGCGCCCTGTAAGCGGGGCCACTGCCAGCTGCCGCAGGGCGGGGAGGGCCCGCGCGCGCGGTCTACTTGGTCTAAAGTTCCTCACTGGGCATCACTCGGACGTCCATTCCCTCTACTTTTTTCGGTTTCGTGCGTGGCTTTTTCGCCAAATCATATGCTCCTCAATGGTCCTCGCCGAACGAAAAATGCACACGTCCGAGCGATGCCAAGCTCATGTAAGTGGCGGGGGGCGGTTTTCATGCGTTCACTTTTGCCTTGCCGCTTTTGCCCTCTTCCTGAGGCAGGTCAGCGGACGAAGGGGGAGACGGCCCAAGAGACACCCAAGACAGCCCCAAGAGCGCACAATATCGGCCCAAGATGGCCCCAAGACGACCCCAAGATGGCCCGAGAGGCGCCCAAGACGGCCCCAGATCGCCCCAAGAGGCACTCAAGACGGCCCAAGAGGGCCGCGAAAGACCCGGGGGGGCGAGGGGACGCACTGAAACAAGAAGAGGCGCCATGACATCGGGGGAGAGATGTGGTGAGACCTCGGCCCTGATGTGGTGCGGGAAAGGCTGCAAGAACCCCCCCGCCAGAGCCCAGCCCTGGAGAAGCCCGCGCGAGGGATGCAGACGGGGGGAGCCCAGAGCACCCGGAACGCAGCGGTCTCTTCGACGGTCGCAGCAGGCCGCAGCGCAGCGCGCGGAGCGCAGAAACCCAGGGCGCCCTGACGAAAAGCACCTGGCTTCTTGAGGCGCGCCTCCACTGTACTATCCGAAAAGAGGGGGAGGGGGGGGGCGCAGATAGTGGCTCGAGGCAGGTGCGCGGACCAGGCGGGGGGGGGGGGCGGCCGGGGCACGCACCGAAACACGAGGCGACGCCATAAAATCTGGTGGCCTCGGCCATGACATCCGCCCCTCCGTGGTCTGATGGGCCTGTCTTCCACCACCACCAGAAGTTGGAGGAGGAGGAGTGTGTCCTCCTCCTCCTCCACCTCCTCCTTCTCCTCTTCCTCCTCTCCTCCTCCTCCTCCTCCTCTTCCCCCTCCTCCTCCCCCCCTTCCAACTTACGATGGTGGTGGTGGAAAACAATCCCATCATGGTCAGCACCCCCTTCTCGGCCCTCTCTGAGCCGAGGTCGGCCACTCCGAAGGGTGCGCATGGTTTGCAACCCGCACCCTGGGGGGCACCTTCGGGGGTCGGGCGGAGGCCCGGACGGAGCTCTCCGCCGCGCCCCGAGGAGGCCCGACGAGGACAGCGTCGCACTCCCCGGGCTCGAACGGTGCCGATCGCACACCACAGCCCGGCGCAACCGTGCCCATCTGAATGTCGCCGATCCGAGGCGGAAGCGCAGGCCTGGAGGGGGAGCGCCCGGGCGGGCACGGGGGCGCACGGGGCGGGGAGGGGGCCCCCTCTCCGCGCCAGGGGGGGGGGGGGGGGGGGGGGCGAAAGGGGGGCAGCAGGCAGGCAGGGCGAGGGGCGCGCTCTCAAGGGGGGGCCGAGGGGCGCACGAGGGGGCCGGGAGGGAGCAGAGAGGCGAGGGGGAGGAGGGGAGGGAGGAGGGGGGGGAGGGACAAGCACAAGCTAGGTGCGCTAGCGTCACATCTGACGTCGAGCAGAGAGGCGAGGGGGAGGATGTGAGGGAGGAGAGGGGGGAGGGACAAGCTAGGTGCGCCTGGCGTCACATCTGACGTCCTGCCCCTCCCTCCTGGCCCTCACCGTGGCGCAGATCTCCGATCTGTTCGCATAGTCGGACGTCGTAGCGATGCATGTAGAAGCGTGTCGTAGAAGAGCATGGCAGTGCATAGCATGTCATAGCGTGGCGTGCCATTGCCTGGTGAAGCATTGCATCACAAAGCGGAGCAACGCAAAGCCTGGCATCGCACAGCGGTGCACAATACAGCCTCGCATTGCATGCCGTGGCATGGGACCGACGGAGACCGACGGAAACGAGAGCAGCGCTGCAGCGGGAGCACGATTTAGAAGGAATGGGACCAAGGGCCGGGACAGAAACCAGGAATGAGGCCACCGCTGCAGCGAATTGGAAGGACCGAAGCACTGGAACGAGGCCAGCCCTACAGCGACAGCGCTACTTGAACGGACCGAACACGCCAGTGCTGCTGCGGGAACACGGTTTGGAATAACTGGAGGCGCGGGAAAGAGGCCAGCGCTGCAGCGGGAGCACGATGTTGAATGACCGAAGCGCGGAAATGAGGGTGGCGCTGCAGCGGGAGCACCATTTTGGAAGAACGGGAAACGATTGGATTGCAAAAACACATAGGGAACAAACAAATAATGAAATCCTGTGTGACAAAAAACGCGGAGAAGACGGGACATTCTCCACACAGGGTCAGGGGAGAGGGGAGAGTAGTATTCATAGTGTGTAATTGTGGAGAGGGGGGAGAGGAGGGGAAAGAGAGAGAGAGAGAGGAGAGGAGAGGAGGGGAAAGAGAGAGAGAGAGGAGAGGAGAGGGAGCAGAGGAGAAGGGTCCAGCGGGCTCCGCGCGGCTCTGGGGAGGAGGGCGAGGGGGCGAGGAAGGCCAACCCCCCGCCTGCAGGTGGAGGGTCGACCTCGCTCCGAGCCTCGGCCATGCGTCTCTTGGTACGCACACAGGCGTGCTTGTTATTATCCCTCCTTTGAAGGCGCACGTCCGAACCGAGCATGTAGCATGAACATCGAATACAAGGTATTATCCCGGCAAAGCAACCTAACAGCGATGTGTAGAAGCATATCTGGGAGCATTCCTTTTGAGATTCATGTAGGAGTCCTATTATGGTATTATGATGCCTTCGCAGTCGCAGTCGCATTCGCAATGGCAATCGCAATGACAACGGCAGTCGCAGGTACAGTCGCAGTGGCAATCCCAGTAGTTGCAGTAGCAATAGCTACAGGAGCAGCAGCAACAGCAGCAGCAATAGCAGGAGCAGCAGTATAATAGTAACAGTAGTAGTAGCAGAAGTAGTAGTGATGGTAGTAGTGGTAGTAGTGAAAGTAGTAGTTGTAGTGGTTGTAGTGGACGAGTAGGAGTCATGGGAGCAATAGTAGTAGGAGGCTCCAGAGACCAGACGCCATGAAGGCAAACCTTGAAACGTCCTGGATCCCCGCAACTGGGCCTCCAGAGGCCGGAACCGCTGAGAAAAACCTTGCGTATCCTTCCTCGAACTCCTCCTTCCTCCTCCTCCTCCTCCTCATCCTCCTCCTCCTCCTCCTCCTCCTCCTCCTCCTCCTACTCCTCCTCGACTTCCTCCCTCTGAGCACACCGTGGCGCTCGACAGGAGGCATCTCTCCTCCTCACTGCTCATGGGCTTTCGGATGCATCAGCCTGCCTCAGCGTCTGCCTCAGCCTGCCTCAGCCTCAGCCGCAGCCTCAGCCTCAGCCTCACTTGAGTTCCCCCATATCAGGCGTGGACCCGCGGCACCCCCGACTGAGTTCCCCCATATTAGGCAAGCACCCGCGGCACCCGTCAGCTGAGTTCCCCCATATCAGGCGTGGACCCGCGGCACCCCCGACTGAGTCCCCCCATATCAGGCGGGCACCCACGGATTCCCGCGGCACCCGTCCGGCATCTGCCCAGACCCCCCTGGGGAGTCATGATGCTCTCTTTTGAGACCACTAGAAACCTATCAGTCTTCGCTGTTTGGTAATAATACATCGTTACCCAGTATGTATGGTCATAAAGCGCCTTCCAAAGAGCACGCGCTGCAAGAGCTCCGAGAGCGCGCGCGTGTCGCCCCTGGGATCCCGACGCACACGTACTAGAAATATGTGTGGTTGATGCCGACCTCGCCGGACACCCGACGTCTTGATGTTTTCCTGACGTGGTCATCCTGAGGTCTGGACCCCTTCCCCGTGACCCGGCGGCGATGATAAGTGCGAATCGCCCAGGGGCGGGCATTACACGTATTCGCCCGGGAGCCTTTTCGAAGACATAGATCATCGGCGCACCTGAATACATGTATTGCTCTCGCCTGGACTATTCGCCCCTATCGTCGCCTCTGAGCGACCGGCTTCCGTCCCGAGTCTATCTCTGGCGGCCCCGAAGCCTGGCGAGTGCCCCCCGAGGGCGAAAAAACTACCAAACCCATCCGCCGCGATGCCTGCTACGACCCGAGGGGGTCTGGGACTGGCACCATGCCCCGGCTTCGCCCAGCGCTCCCCTCCCACCAGGTGGTCTGGTCGTAGACGGCGAACTCTTTGAACCTCGGGGAGGAGGAGGAGGAGGAGGAGGAGGAGGAGGAGGAGGAGGAGGAGGAGGAGGTGGAGGAGGAGGAGGAGGAGGGGGAGGAGGAGGAGGAGGGAGGAGGAGGAAGAGGAGGAGGAGGAGGAGGAGGAGGAGAGGGGAGGAGGAGGGGGAGGAGGAGGTGAGGATGATGAAAGGAGGAAATAGAGAAGGGGGGAGAGAAGAGAGAGGGGAGGGGGAAGCAGGAGACAGACGGGCGGAGGGGTGGGGAGGGGGAGGAGGGGGCAACAAGGACGGAGGGGGAGGGAACCAATGCTGGACCGAGGAAGGGGGGAGGAGGGGGCAGTGATTGCAGGAAGGAGCCGATGCTGGATCAAAGGAGGGGGGCCAGCAGGAGGCGATGCGGAGGGGGGGAGGCGCGGCGGAAGATCCTTCCACTTAATTCCATGCCCCCTCCTCCTCGCACCTCTTCTCTCCCCAGTGTACAGCATTGTTGTGCCAATCGAAACAACATATCTGGAAACTGCTGTGCACAAATGGTCGGAACGAAGAAGGCGAACAAAAAACAATAACGAAAAAGGACGGAACAGCGGGGAAGCGAGAAGCGCCAAAGGGGGACAAAGAGAGAGAGAGAGAGAGACAGTCACAATTACATGAACGGGATCACCCAAGACGAGTGAGACTCTGAAGCGGAGCGTTGACACTTCTGTGGGCAGCTGGACCAGGGCTGCATGCACTGCGCGTCCCAAGAAAGCAACATGAGGCGACGCCGGAGGAAACCGAACTGCAGACCTCAAAGGTGCCACTGCGATGGGACTCCCAAAAACGCGCTTCCATATTTTCGGCGATAATTGGCATTACAAGGGGGCCAGGGGGGAGGGGCCAGGGGGAGGGGGTACAGTGTAACGCCTCCCCCCTTGCCGTGCGCACGGCGGCAGTGCCCCGAGCGCACTTGGTGGGGAGGGGGCGTCACGTTGCAAGGGGGGGGGGAGGGGTGGGAGCGGGGGGGGGGGAGGGGGCGTTACGTCGTGGGGGGGGAGGGGGCGTTACGTTGTTGGGGGGGGGGGGCCGGGGGCTACAATGCCCACTGTGCCCCAAGCAGGAAAGAAGCACGCTCCAAGTCGGAGGCGGCCAGCAAGTCTGAACTGGTGGTCGGGTGTTGCCACACATGCACCGTGCGCCGTGCGCGCTCCTGGCACGGCTGGGCAGGCGTGTCCACCCCAGACCTCCGACGTTTTGGACCGAGCAAAAAACAGCAGCAGAAACAATAACAAAAACAGCACAGAGAAACACTAACAAAACAAAAACAACAAGCAGCAAACAAATAAGCAAAGGCAGCAACAAAAAACGAGCACATAAAAATAGGGATTGCTCAAGGTGCACATGGCCCAAAGTGCTCCCAGGATCCCCAGGGAGGCCCCCACGGCCCCCAGAGAGCAAAGCTCACGAGAGCCCCAGGAGCACCAAAATGGAGAGGAAAGCTGGGGAGGCACCTTGGGCCAGGGGCACCCTCAGCCACCCCCGAGGCTGGGACTCCAGAAAACGGGTCAAGGACATGCTGCCACATCCGCTCAACATCGGTCCCTGGACCCCTCCCAGGGTTCATCTGGTGCCACGCCGCGGATCCGTGCCCAGAGACGGCCCCCGAAACCTACAAAAACGACAAAAAAACACCTTTCCGACCCCAGAACCTCGAACCTCCCCCACTCCCTCCTTTGGCGGCGAGCTAGGGTGGAAAATGAGAAGCAGAAGGCCTGCTCAGAAGGCGGCGAAACCTCTCAGAAGCCCTCGCTCCTTCTGAGAAATGTTGTTAAGTCTTCGGGGACAGCTCAGGAAACTTCTCAGAAGCCCGGAGGATTCCCGAGCCTTCTGAGAGGGCCCGCCTCTTCTCACTTCTCCCCCTCGCTCGCCGCCGATTCCTGCTGGCCAGAGCCAGTGCTGGGTCACCTCAGGACCCCCAGCTGCACGGTTTCCCCCAGGGCCGTATGCGACCCGAGGAGGAGGAGGAGGTGCATGAGGAGGAGGAGGAAGGAGGAGGAGGAGATGGAGGAGGAAGAGGAGGAGGAGGAGGAGGAAGAGGGAGGGAGGGAGGGAGGGAGGGAGGGAGGGAGGAGGAGGAGAAGGAGGACGGGTCGCCTAAGCCCTTCGGAGAAACCCTCCAGCCTCGTCTCCTCCCTCCATCCCTCCCCCATTGAAGGGGCCCAGGGAAACACGGGTAAGTGGGCATACATCCTGGGATTCCCCATACTTCTCGTGTGTTCGAGTCCGCCCACCCACTCTCATACGTTACACTTCATCTGCTCCTGGGGATCGACGATTGTGTGTGTGTGTGTGCGTGTGTGTATGTGTAAATGTGTGTAAGAGTGTGTAAGTGTGTGTGCGTGTGCGCATGTAAGCGAAAGTGAAAGTGAAAGTGAAAGTGCAAGTGCAAGTGTAAGTGTAAGTGTGTGTGTAAGTGTAAGTGTATGTGTAAGTGTAAGTGTGCGTAAGTGCGCGTGTGTGTAAAGGTGTGTAAATGTGTGTAAGAGTGTAAGAGTGTGTAAGAGTGTGAGTGTGCGTGTGCGTGTGCGTGTGCGTGTGTGTGTGTGTGTCTGTGTGTGTGTGTGTCTGTGTGTGTGTGTGTCTGTGTGTGTGTGTCTCTGTGTGTGCGCGTGTGTTTCTACTCCCTCCTGACGCCCTCCCTCCCTCATCCTCCCTTCTTTCGGGCGCGGCCTAACCGACCCCTAGGCCGCCCCTGACTCTTCCTCCTGGCCGAGGCTGACGTGTGCAGCCGACGGCCTCCAGGCGCAACCTCCCCCGGCATACCGTATCCCCTCATCGGGGCGGACGACAGAAGGGGGGGGGACACCGTCAAGACGCTGAGTTGAGGACAACTTCGGGCTCGGGGCCCTCGCTTCTGGCAGGAGCGCATCCGTAGCAAAGCAGTCCCTCCGTTCTTTCTTCAGCGTGTCGCACGCCTGACCTGGGACAAAAGAACATCCTTCGAGAACACGAGACCCTCCGCTGGCCAAAACACCCCAAACCGTGAGATCACTCGAAGGCACCCTCACCCAAGATGCACGAGAACACCCAGCAAGCACGAAGAACACCAGGGCACCCTCCCCGAACCGACCTCGATCTTGTAGGGCGGCCACGCACCGGGGGTGCCCTGCGGGGATGCCGCTGCCTCCCCGCTCTTGGGGGGCAACTCCTGGGAGGTCTGAAGCGAGAACCAGGAAGGGCTGTCGGGCCCGGTGGGACGGCCTTCAGGCCACATGAGCCCAGATTGAGCCTGGAACTGAGGCAGACTTGGCGGGATTGCTGGAGGAAGATTGGTCCCGATGCTTAATCCAACCTCGCACGCAGGAGTTGCGTCCTAACCTTTCCCGCCTACCCCCACAGCCGCCGACGCCGCTGCAGGCTGTCCTCCCCGTCGTCGCCGTCGGCGTCGCACTCGCCGCCGTCACCGTCATGGGCGCCGCTGTCAAAGACGACGTCGCAGCCGCAGCGTTGTGAACCCTCTCCCGCCCGTACGCGGCTCCATCCCTCGGGGCTAGACAGAAGCTCCTTTGCCCAAAACACCCTCTGGTGAACACCACCCGTGACCAGACATCTCGGCTGGCGCAGGCCCACAGATAACCAGCCTCGAACTTATCCATGTCACTAAGATGGGCGAGCAAAAAGCGAGGACTATCTTAAGGATGTGCCCTCAGAAACTGAGGGAATCCTTAAGATCGGCATCGAGATGAAGTGATGCCAAGCACAGGGATCTGGATAGGTTTCGAACCCGTAAGCAGGACATCGCGGCCGCAGCACCCTCTCGAGAAGTGCGGCAAAGCAGTTCGCTAATCGACTTGGCAGGGTCCAAAAAAAAAACCGACGTCGAGACCGACTCCTTCAACGCGGGGGCCCAGAAAGACCCGGCCCTCTTCCGAGGGCCGGCGTTCCATCTCGAGCACTGCTCTTCTGACGGCCCCGGGGCCCTCGAAGCCCGAGCATTGCCCAAAACCTCCCGCCGGGTTGCCTCACGGCGCGAGCACGTAGGGGCTCTACAAATCAGCCGCAATGGCAAGTAAATCCCACCAGCCCTCTGGGCGTAGGTGGTTTAAAGAGTTTCCTCTTCCACCCTTCCTTCTTCCCCTTCGGGGAGGGGTTTACCCCTCCCCCTACCCCCTCCCCTGGACCTGGACGGGGGGCGCGGCGACGCGTTGGAGCGTCCAAGATGGCCTCGGCGAGGAAGCCAAAATCCGCCGACCCCTTGTGGGTCTCTGGGCGTGGGAGATAGTTCCCCCCCCCCATATTGCCCCCCCCCCCCCCCCCCCCCCCCCCCACAGGGACCCCAAACCGAAGATTTGACCCCCCCCCCCGGGCCGAGCACGAGCGCATCAATGGGCGTTTTTTGGGCCCACAAGGGCCTCAAGACGGGCCCAAAAAGCTCCAAGAGGCCTCCAAGACGGCCCACGAGGGCCCCGAGACGCCAAACGAGCGCTCCAAGACGGCCAAGATGGCCCCAAGACGGGCCAAGAGGCCTCCAAGACGGCCCAAAAGGTCCCCACGAGGCCCCAAGAGGCCTCCAAGATGCGTCCCAAGAGGGTCCCTAGACGCAAAAAATTGCCCATGCCCTTCGTAAAACGTACAATATAATTTTCACAAATTCGCCTTCTGGGCTTCCCGACGCTCCAAGACGGCCCAAGAGGCCCCGAAGACCGCCCCAAGATGGCCCAAGACGCCCCCAAGAGGGCCCCAAGATAGCCCAAGAGGGCCCCAAGACGGCCCAACAGGCGTCCAAGATGGCCCAAGAGGGCTCCGAAGACGGCCCCAAGAGCGCTCCAGGAGCGCTCCAAGTGGCCTCCAAGAGAGCTCAATCTGGTCCCAGACGGTCCAAGAGCGATCAAAGACACCGAAGATGGCCTCCTGACGGTCCAAGATGCCCCCAAGAGGCCCCTAGAGGCATCCAAGATGCGTCCACAGAGGGCCTCTAGACGCAAAAATGCATGTTCCACACATTCGCCTGTTGGGCTCCCCGACGCTCCCAGGCGGCCCAAGAGGCCCCCAAGACCGCCCCAAGACGGCCCAAGAAGCCTCCAAGAGGGCCCCAAGAAAGCCCAAGAAGGCGCCAAGACGGCTCAAGAGGCGCCGGAGACGGCCCAAGAGAGCCCCGATGACGGCCCCAGGAGCGCTCCAGGAGCGCTCCAAGTGGCTTCCAAGAAAGCTCAACATGGTCCCACACGGTCCAAGAGCCATCGAAGACACCCGAGATGGCTTCCAGATGGCCCAAGACGCCCCCAAGAGGCTTCCAAGATGCGTCCCACGAGGGTCCCTGGACGCAGAAATTTGCTGATTCCCTTCGTAAAACGTACAATGTTCACAAATTCGCCTTCTGGGCTTTCCGACGCTCCAAGACGGCCCAAGAGGCCCCGAAGACCGCCCCAAGACGGCCCAAGGGGCCCCCAAGACGGCCCCGCGACGGTCCAAGATGGCCCCTAAGACGGCCCAAGAGGTCCCCAAGACGGCCCAAGAAGGCTCCAAGACGGCACCAAGAGGGGCCCAAGAGGGCAACCCAAAATTCAAAAATCTAGCTTTCCGCCCCCACGAGCCCCAGGGGGCCCCAAGACAAGAGTGCCCCAAGAGGCCGCCAGAGGCCCCAAAGCGGCCTCCAAGACGCCCCAAGGAGCCCACAAGAGGCCCCCAGGAGGCCCCCAAAAGACCCCAGACGCTTCCGTATTGCGAGCCGTCACGCCAACTGCAATGCACTCCGCGCATACAGCCTTGCTCTTCCTCGCGACGTGCTCACTACCTTGCTCGGCGCTAATGTGCTGGTGCCGCGCGAACTGTTTCGTGTGCGCTGCGAGCGTCAACAGCCTCTTCACCCGTTTCGACTCACCCGCCACATTTTTCGTGGTGATGCCTCGCTGATCACAGCTTCCGCACACTACTCTTGCGCCTTTCGTCTTCCGGTGGTCCTCCACTTGGTTGCGGGTCGACAGGCCGACCTCCCAGAAAGACACCCCGCACCCGGGCGCACAGCACGCAAAGCGCTCGCAAAACACGCCCCAGACCACCGGCATCACGCAAACATTTGGACCCCCTACGTATCTGCCACCACCCGCGCGCGACACCGCACCCTCACACAAGACGCCGCTGGCCAGAAACTCCTGGCCTCGCAACACTCACAGAAGGGGTCGGCAGATGTGGCGCAAGCCTGTAGAATCATTGGTTTTACTAGGGTTTTGGCCCCATTTTGGCCTCCTGGGGGGGGGCCCTAATTAAGGACCCCCCCTTCGCTGACCGATCTCCTCCAAGATGGCCCCAAGAAGCGCCCAGGAGGCCCCAAGAGGTCCCAAGATAGCCCCAAGAGGCCCCCCAAGAGGCCCCCAGGAGGCCCCCAAGAAGACCCCAAGCGGCCCCAAGAGGCCCCCCCCGAGGCACCCAAGACCCCGAAGAGCCCCCCAGGATCGCCAAGAGTCCCCCAAGAGGTCCCAAGAGGCCACCAAGAATCGCCCAAGAGATACCCCAAGAGGCTCCGAGAGGCATCCAAGAGACCACTGGCACTTGTGCTTGCCCTCCTCCTCCTCCTCCTGTTCCTCCTTCCTGCTCCTACTCCTTCTCTTCCTCCTCCTCCGCCTCCTCCTCCTCCTCCGCCTCCTCCTGATCCTATTCATCCTCCTTCTTCCCAGTCCCTCATCCATCCATCCATCCACCTCCTTCCTTCTCCTCCTCACTCCTTTGCACGGTTCAGCCGCCGTCCTCCCCTTTACTGCCGCACCTCCCTGATCACCTCAACTCGCCTGGACATCGTTTCTGGATGGGCTGGTGGGGGTACTTTTTGGTCCGCGGCTCCGAGGCAAGAGACAGGGAGCGAGCACAACGTCCGGGGCGCGGTACGTCAGGCTGGTGGGGATACTTTTTGTTTTACAGCCGCAGGCGGAAGCGCCGGCGGCGGGCGGTCGCGGGCGGGCTGCGGCCGCGACTAGCGGCGGGCGCGCGCGAAGCAGGCTGGTGGGGATACGCGAAGCGTCTAGAATTCGCTGCTCACCTTGGCAAGGTCATGCGGCTGTGGGGTTATAACTTGGATCTCCTACGGCTGTTCGGGACGATCTGGGCACTCCTGGAACGCTCTCGGCGCGGCGCAGCCGCCACTCCTGGAACGCTCTCGGCGCGGCGCAGCCGCTGGAACGCGCCCCGAGGCCGGAAAACCGCAGAGAGTGTTCGAAAACGCCAGCAAACCTCAAACCTCGGACCCGACAGTACCCTCTGCCCCTCCCTCCGCGCGCCGCCGAGAAACAGACAAACCACGCTGGGACGCACCCGAGGCAAGAGAGAGCCGCCAGGAACTGACGAGGGCGCCCGAGACGAGCGACTGCCCATGGCTGGCGGCGCCCCCCCCCCCAAAAAAAAAACTCCCGTGGGGAGGCGCGCCGCCTCCAACAGGGAGCACCGCTGAGCCAGCCCCGAACCCCCCGCTGGCCGTCGCTCGGACGTCCATTTCCCGTGCGTTTTTCGGTTTTGTGCGCGTTTTTCTTGCTCGATGATCCAGGATGCTCTTCGATGGTCCTCGCCGAAAAAAAATCCACACGTCCGAGCGATGCCAAGCACGCTGGCATGGCCTCGGCCCCGCGGGACGAATGGCCTCGCCACGCGGGGCTGCGGTAGCTGGGCTGGGGCGGCGGGGCGGGGTGGAGGTACGCAGGGGCCGAGGTACCATGACCCCCTGGGGATCGGGATCGGGTATGCGATGCTTTGAGCAGGGACCGCGACCGCCCCGGCATTCTTGAAGGGGCCCTGGGACACACAAATAAATACACACAAATAAACATATGCCCCATATGCTCCCATATTTTCTGGGTTTTCGTCTTCCCCCCACTTCCCATATTTTCCGATATTTTCTGGGTAGTCGACGATTAATTGTGCCTGTGTGTGTTTTTCCCCTCCTCTCCTGAATTCTTAGACGCCTACCACGAGATGTTCCGAGAAGCCCCAAATGTTCAAATGGCAAGAACAATGTTCTTAGAACACAAACCCGATGTGCTAAAACAAGACAATCGCAGCCAGAAGTGTTCTAAAAACAGATCGTGCAAACCACAGAAGGTTTTAAAGATATTCTTTGGTGGGCATGTAGGCAAGACGGGACGCCGCGCCACTGCTCGAACGCTGGAGAAAGGGCCTCGCCGGCGCACGCGGCGCGAGGCGGCCGGGAGCCAGCTGCCGTCGGGCCGCGCGGGGCACTCGCGGAAGTCGCCCGCGCACGCCGCCGTGCGCGAGGCGGCGTCCTGGCGCGAGAGCGGGCACGGGAGCGCAAGGAAGAGGGGCGGGGGAACATCAGGTCGGGCATGTCCTCCTACAGGCGGATTTGGGCAGAAAAATTAAGCACAATGAGCAACGTGTTAAACATCGTAGACATGCGCGAAAAATCGTCCTTGTACGATTTTGCTTTGACCATTTTTGGACATCCCCCCTGTAGAGGGACAGGCCCGACTTCATGCGGGCACGGGAGCGCAGAGTCAAGGGCGGGGTGCACGGTTTCCCCTGGGGCCGTAGTGGGCGACCCGAGCAGGAGAGGAGGAGGAGGAGGAGGAGGAGGAGGAGGAGGAGGAGGAGGAGGAGGAGGAGGAGGAGGAGGGAGGAGGGAGGAGGAGGAGGAGGAGGAGGGAGGAGGAGGAGGAGGAGGGAAGGGAGGAGGAGGAGGAGGAGGAGGAGGAGGAGAGGAGAAGGGGGAGGAGGAGGGAGAGGAGGAGGAGGAGGAGGGGAGGAGGAGGAGGAGGAGGAGAGGGAGGAGGAGGAGGAGAGGAGGAGGGAGAGAAGATGGAGGAGGAGGAGAGAAGAGGAGAGGAGGAGAGAGGAGAGGAAGGAGGAGGAGGAGAGGGGGAGGGAGGGGGAGGGAGGGAGGGAGGGAGGGAGGGAGGAGGAGGAGGGAGGAGGGGAGGGAGGAGAGGAGGAGGAGGAGGGAGGGGGAGGGGGGAGGGGGAGGGGGAGGAGGGAGGAGGGGAGGAGGAGGGAGGAGAGGAGGGAGGAGGGAGGGAGGGAGGAGGGAGGAGGAGGAGGGAGGAGGGATGGAGGAGGAGGAGGAGGAGAGGAGGCGAGGAGGAGGAGGAGGGAGGAGGCGGAGGAGGAGTAGGAGGAGGAGGAGGGAGGAGGAGGAGGGAGGAGGAGGAGGAGGGGGGGGAGGAGGAGGAGGAGGAGGAGAGGAGGAGGAGGAGGAGGAGGAGGAGGAGGAGGAGGAGGAGGAGAGGAGGAGGAGGAGGAGGAGGAGAGGAGGAGGAGGAGGAGGAGGAGGAGGGGGAGGAGGAGGAGGAGGAGGAGGAGGAGGAGGGGGAAGGAGGGAGGAGGGAGGAGGGAGGAGGGAGGAGGGAGGAGGGGAGGAGAGGAGAGGGAGGAGGGAGGAGGGAGGAGGGAGGAGGGAGGAGGGAGGAGGGAGGATGAGGAGGGAGGAGGGAGGAGGGAGGAGGGAGGAAGGAGGAGGGAGGAGGGAGGAGGAGGAGGGAGGGAGGAGAGGAGGAGGAGGAGGGAGAGAGGAGAGGAGGGAGGAGGAGGAGGAGGAGGAGGAGGAGGAGGAGGACGAGGACGAGGACGAGGACGAAGAGAAGGAGGAGGAGGAGGGAGGAGGACGAAGGAGGAGAAGACAAAGACGAAGATGACGAAGAAGAAACAGAAGAAGAGAAGAAGATAATAATAATAATAATAATACTAATACTAATACTAATACTAATACTAATAATAATAATAATAATAATAATAATAATAATAATAATAATAATAATAATATAAATAATACAAATAATAATACTAATAATTTCATTATTAGTAATAATAATAATAAGAAGAAGAAGAAGAAGAAGAAGAAGAAGAAGAAGAAAGACGCCGAAGCGGACCGTGCCCGACGCCGCACGCGGCGTGGGCGGGAGCTCAAAAGGAGCTCAAAAACGTGGAGGCCGAACGATAGGAGGACGCCGTCGGAGACCGCGTTGAGGGGGAGGGCGGCAGAGCTCAGGCACAGCATTATCGCCATCCCCCCAGCCCTCCGGAGCCAGCCGCCAGCGCGCGCGGCAGCTGCAGCTCGATGCCCGCCTCCGAGAACGCGTCGATGGACGAGACGAGCCTCTCCATCTGCACGTCCGTGGCACGGCTCATCGCGACCGGCGACGTACCGGGAGCCATCAAGCGCCCGACGAGGCACTGCCGCCGCGAACTCGCAGCGGGCCTCACTGCAGGCCATCGGCCCAGGAGTCATCCTCGAGCATGGGCACGGGCGCCGCTGCCGCCCCAGCGGCCGCGCCCTTTGCCGCCGCGCTCTCCAGGGCCATGCTGTCGCTGGCGGCGGCGCCGTGCCGGCCGCCCCGCACCCCGCCCTTCTGGCCGCCGCCGCCGAGGGGCAGCCGCGGCCACCGCAGGGGGCGCCGCGGGCGACGCGGGAGGGGCAGGCCTGGCCAGCAAGGCCGCTGCCGCGCTTCTAGCGTGCCCTCGGCCGCCCTGAGCGAGCGCAAGCGCTCGCGCAGCTCAGGGCAGCCCGTTGCCAGCCCACCAGCCGAATGCGCCGCGAGGAGCGCACCGCGCGTCACACCTCGAGCGCCGCAGTGCGTGCCACCTTCGCCGCCGGCATCGGGCACGCTGCGCCGACCCGAGGGCGGGCACCTGCGAAGGGAGCCTGAGCCAAAGCAGCTAGGAGGAGGAGGAGGAGGAGGAGAAGGAGGAGGAGGAGGAGGAGGAGGAGGAGGAGAAGGAGTAGGAGTGGAGGAGGAGGAGGAGGAGGAGGAGGAGGAGGGAGGAGGAGGGAGGAGAGGAGGAGGGAGGAGGGAGGGAGGAGGGAGGGAGGGAGGAGGAGGGAGGAGGAGGGAGGAGGAGGAGGAGGGAGGAGGGAGGGAGGAGGAGGAGGAGGAGGAGGAGGAGGAGGAGGAGGAGGAGGAGGAGGAGGGAGGAGGAGGAGGAGGAGGAGGAGGAGGGAGGAGGACGGGTCGCCGAAGCCCTTCGGAGAAACCCTCCGGGAGGCGGATGGGAAGAAGGACTGGTACGATCGAAGTGGGTACGTAAAGAAGGGGCACAAAGGACCAACGGCGGCCCCTGTCCACTCCGGAGAGGATGGATTCGCCCGTTGTCGGTGCCATCGCGGACGTTGCCCCCTCGAGGCTCCAGGCCGCCTGCCCAACGGCGGCGGCTGTCGGTGTTGGACGACACTTGCTGCTGTCGGCGGCGAGCCTGGGGGAAAGCGAGAAGGGGCGGGCCTTCCCAGAAGACCCGGACGTCCCCCGGCCTGCGGAGAAGATTTCTGGGCCTCCCTCCTAAACGCAAGACAGAAACTCCACAGAAGGTCGGAGGGCTTCTGAGACGCCCCGCCGCCTTCTGAGAAGGCCTTCTCCCTCACACTTCTCTCCCTCACTCGCCGCTCGCTGGTGCTGGGCACCGAACCCACTTTTTCCACACCACGTCGGGCGTCCAAAAAAAAAACGAATAGAACAGGGCCAGAATGAAGATGATTCCGTCCCAGAGCGTGCTGGAACGCTCTCAGAGCGTTCCGGAACGCTCTGGGAAGGCCGCGGCGCTCGGTACATCCTCCAGAACCGTCAGATCTCATTCAGTCTCGCTGTACCTCACCCGATGTTATCATCGTCCTGGCTTCGTTTTGTCGGGGGCGGCCAGGAGGGGACCGAAAACATCGAACCTCGAACCGAAACCTCTCTGAGCCTACCTAAACTTAAGATGTTCCAATCAGAAAACACAGAAATTTGAGGGTTTTCACGTGTCGGGCCCTGGGAGGCGATACTCGTTCGACACACTGTTTCGATACTCGTCTGGGTGCTCGAACTTATTTCTGGAATGTGGTCCTCGAGTACGATGGGAGCAGCATAAACCTATTCCCCCCCAGGGGTGGCAGAAGAACGAGCAGCATGAGCACAAACGTCTGGAGCTCCACGTGGATGCCCCTTGGGCGAGTGCCGGGCCCCCCCATCTCCCTCCCTGGCGCGCAGCGAGCGCGCCAGAGGAGCGCCGCTGGAGGCGCCGCCACGGGGGCCGTTGAGAGTCTGTGCTGACGCAGATTTCGGCCTCTTCGGCATGAGCCCGTCCAGACGAACGCGTTCCACGACGTGCAAGGCAAATGTTCGCAGATGGCCTGGATCCGCCGCGGGGGATCTACGATTCAGTCGGACCTGTCCCCCAACAGGCGGATCCGGGAGGAACAATTAGTAAAGATACCCGAAAAATGCTCGACGGTGGTAAACAAAACGTAAAAGAAATCGTCCCACGACCAATTGTTTACTAGTTGTGAATATTCCTCCTGTAGATGGACACGCCCGACTTCAGAGCAGGCGCTCTGCGAGCAGCGGAACGCGCTCGGCGGCCATCCCTCCCGCAGCTAGACGAGCGCGTCCCACTACTCGCAAAGCAACTCTACTCGCAAATAGCCCGGATCCGCCACGGGGGATCTGCGACATTCTACATCGAGGAAAAGAACTGTTTTTTTCTGACTTTTGCGAGTAGGCACTGTGCGAGCAGCGGAACGCGCTCGGCGAGCAGCGCTGCCCCCGACGAGGGGGGCCCGAGGGCGTGCCGGCCGGCCTGGCCGCCTGCAGACGTCAGGAGGGGGGCGCCGCGGGTCCTCCAGCCGCGCCCGCTGCAGCTTCAGCGCCTCCTCGAAGCTGCGCCTGGGCCAGGACGGCAGGCCGATTTTCCACCTACCATGCGTAGGAGGAGGAGGAGGAGGAGGAGGAGGAGGAGGAGGAGGAGGAGGAGGAGGAGGAGGAGGAGGAGGAGGAGGAGGAGGAGGGAGGAGGAGGAGGAGGAGGAGGAGGAGGAGGAGGAGGAAGGAGGAGGAGGAGGAGGAGGAGGAGGGAGGACCCTGAGGAGAGCGACCCGAAAACCAAAGCCCCTCCCGAACCCCACGTTTTGGACGCCCGGAATAGGTACGGAAAAAAATTGGTACCATGCCCAACAACAAATGTTGTCCCAAACCAACAGCGGCCGCTGTTGGGCAGGCGGCTTTCTGTCTCAAATGGACACAGGCCGCGGCGGCGCGGACAGCGAGTCCTGTTCAAGACGAACAGGAACTGCTGTTGGGCATCGTGCCCATTCTTTCCGTGCCCACGTCGGTCGTCCCGACACGTGGTCCTTCCTGCACACCGCCCGGACATCGACCATCGGACATCGGACGTGCCGCAGTGAGCCGCGAGGGCCATGCGAGCACTGCAGCGCCGATCTCTGTCGAGGCGGGTGCAGCAGCATGGCTCAAGTCGGGCCTGGCCCTCTACGGGAGGAATGTTAAAAAATTGTCAAAAAGTACTCGGGAGACGATCTGATTACGTAGCAGTTGTGAACCATTTGGGAACATTTCTAGGGGATTTGTTTTGTGTTTTCGCCCAAAAATCCGCCTGTAGGAGGACATGCCCGACCGAAGCACAGGCACCCACTGGCACCCACCCCAGGGAATGCACGCCCAGGGTGGAGGGAACGGCTGCCGGCGGGGGGGGCAAGCCCTGCTCCTGCTGCACGACGTGCGCTGCGCGGGGGGGGGCATCCGAATTCGCGGCGCTGGCAGCGCGGCGTATTGCGCAGCTCCCGAAAGGTGCCCGGCTAAGTCGGGCGCCTCCTCCGGGCGCTTGCAGCAGCGCTGGTCGCCCAGCTTGCTCGTCAAAGCAAAAACGAGAGGGGCCACCCAGGCCCCGCTCGCCCGCGAGCTGCGCAAAATCGGCCCCGAGGGGCGGAGTGGAACACGTGGGATCCGTCTTGGACCGTTTTGGCAACCACGGCGTAGGCAAAAAAGAGGCGCCGAAGAAGGTCGTTGCGATCGAAATGGGTACGGAAAGAATGTGGGTGCAAAGACCGACAGAACCTCCTGCCCATTTTGAAGACGAGCTCGCTGTCGGTCACGCCTGGCCAACAGCGGCCGCTGTGGGTTTTGGACAGCCTTTGTTGCTGGGCATCGTACCCATCTACAGTCGGGGCGCTGACGAAGGAACCTTTTTCGTTGGGGAGGGGCTCGGTGTTCCTTCATTGTCCCACACCTTGCCCAAGGTTTTTCTTAAGCTTTCGCTGGGAAGTCGAAGGTTAACTTATGAAAAAGGGGGCCTCGTTCCTTGTCTAGGGTTCCTCAGGTCAACGCCTCGAGTGTATATGTCCGTGCCAATTTTGGCCGTCCATGACTGCCTACCAGACCACCCCAACCCAACCCGAAGACCCGAATTTCGGGTTGGGGGGGGTATGGGCTCCATATGTGTTTTTTCGACGTTCCCAGACCCCCCCCACTAGAAATCGAGGGTAAATCCGACCCTTCGGGTTGGGTTGGGGTGGTTTGGTGGGTGGAGAGTCCAGAACAGGAAACCCACGGCGCGCCAGCGATGGAGCGCCGGACCGCAGCACCGCCGCAGGCAGAGGGGGGGCCCCAGAGGGTGCCCTCGGGCCTGCAGCTGCGCCGCAGCGGCCGCGGCACCCACCCTCACCGTAGACTCCATGCGGGGATCCCGGGAGATGGGAGGGAGTGGAGGGGGGCAGACCCTGACCTTCCAGGAGGGCTAAACAATGGCACCCGACTTAAACACCTGTCCCAGAGCTATTCTACGTCTTGGTTTTGGGCTGTTTCGCTCAGCTTTTTAGGTTTTTAGGCCTCCAGTGCTAAAAAATAGCTTTATGGAAGGAAGGTCAGGGGAGGAGGGGGAAGATGGCACAGCGGAGGCCAATACGCAAGAAACCTTCCACAAGAAGCCCAACCCTGAGACCCCAGGAGGTCCATTGATTTTTAGCGCGGGAACGTCGCGCTGTCCATCGCAGAGCCATCGAAACCCAAGAAACCCGCCCAAGAGAGACTCAGATGGCTTCCAGACGGTCCAAGAGAGCCTCAAGACGGCTCCAGAGGCCCTCCAGAGTGCCCTCGAGAGGGCCCCCAGGGGCACAAAACTTTGATGTTTGATGCTTTTCGCAGGTTTTGGGGGTTCTTGCGTGTTCTGGCCAAGAACGGAACAACACGACCCAAGAGGCTCCAAAGAGCGTCCCAAGATGGCCCCAAAAGCTCCCGAAAGGACCCGAAAACACTCCACGAGGGCGCCCTGGAGGCGAGTAGGGCTGTTTCTTGGCACGGGCCCCCCCCCCACTGCACGGGGTCGCACAGGGGGGAGGCAGGGCGGCCGGGGGGGACGGGGCGGAATGAACAGAGGGGAGCAAGGAGGGGGGGAAGGCAGGAGATCGGGGGCGTGCAGACATGGATCAGCGGTCCATGGATTTGGCGCGCGGTCGCCAAATCCATGGAACGGGGGAAGTGCCCTCCCCAGAATGCGGCCGGTGCCGCCTCGTTGGGCGGCGGAAATCCGCGATTTCCCATGGAAACGGGACCCGTCCCTAATCCACGCCTCCTTCATCCATGTTTGCGATCGCCTGAGGAGAGGAGCAGGGAGTGGAGGTGGACGAGAAAAGCGGGACACGATGGGAACGGCAGGGCTGGACCTAAATGTTGTTTTTCGTGTTGGTTCCGTTGTGTGTTTCGTGTTGCTCTACCTGTTTTCCTGCACCTCCCTCCCAAAACGAAACACAAAACACGGCCGAAGTCCAGCAAACCAGCGAGTAGGTCCAGCCCATGGGGAAAGTTCGAGGGACGACGTGGGAATGTTGGAACGCCAGATGTCGGGGATGGACAGACCCCCCTTTAGTAAAACGTGGTTTAGTGAAAACGACCTGAGGCCCAAACCTGGCGGGCGCAAGCCTGGAAAATAACGGCCACGGCGCCCTCTCGAGAACCGAAAACGGACAATTCACTAATCGACGTGTCACTGTTGGGGGTTCTGTCCACCCCCGAAGATGCTGTTCTGTAGGCCTCACGGACTGGTGCACGCATCCCCCCACCCGAGGCCGTGATCCATCTTACGAGGAAAAACACGGATCCGCGCCCCGAGCTTCCAAGGCGGCCACTGCAGGCAACCAAAGACACCAAGATGGCCCAAGCTGCCTGGAAGACGGGCCAAGATGGCTTGGGCCGTCTTGGGGCCCTCTGGGGGCCCTCCTGGGTCCCCTCGGGGGCTTCCTCTGGCCCTCTTAGGGCTCTCTTGGGGACCTCTTGGGACTCTCAGGGGCCTCTCTTGGGCCGTCTTGGGGCTCTCCTGGGCCATCTTGACGCCCACTCTGGCCGTCTTGGGGGTATCTGGGGCAGTCTTGGGGCGGTCTTGGGGGCCTCCTGGGCCGTGTTGGACGCTGTGAAGATCAAAGAAGCGAATATGCTAAAAATGCACGTTTTCCAAAAGGGAATGGAACAATGTTTGCCTCTTGGAGGTCCCCCTTTGGGGGCCTCTTGGGGCGTCTTGAGGGCCTCTTGGGCGGTCTTGAAGCCATCTTGTGACCTCTTTGAGCGCTCTTGGGCTGTCTTCGGGCCCTCTTTCTTGGACCTCTCCGACGCCGTCTTGAAGGATCTTAGGCGCTCTTGGGGCTGTCTTGGGCCGTCTTGGGGGCCTCTTCCGCGCTCTTGGGGCCGACTTGGGCCGTCTTGAGCCGAAAATTGCCAAGTGCTAGACCCCACCAGTTTGGGTTTCGGTTCTTTTTCCAAAAGAACTCTCCCTTCGGGCTCCGGCCCAGCCCGCCGGCCACCCAGGACCTGGAAGAGATCGCAAGACCCGGTTGCCAAGGTTTTTCCTGCTCCAGACGGCTCCAAGATGGCCCAAGCTGGCCTCCAAGACGGCCAAGATGGCCTCCAAGACGGCCCAATATCACCAAGACGGCCTCCAAGACGGCCCAAGAGGGTCCAAGATACTTCAAAATCCGCCCAAGAACCCTTCAAGACGGCCCAAGAGGTGCCCAAGAGGCCTCCGAAAGGTGCTCCAGGAGTGCTCGAAGAGGCTAAAATCATTGATTTACGTAAGGGTGTTTGAAGAATGTTCGTATTTGCTCTTTTTCGGCCTTCGACGGCCCGAGACGGCCCAATAGCCCCCCAAGATCGCTCCAAGATCGCCCAAGAGGCCTCCAAGATGGCCCCAGAACAGGCTAAGAGGCCCCCAAGATGGCCCAAAGACGGCCCAAGAGGCTTCTAACACGCCCAAGAAAGCCTCCAAGACGGCCTTGGAGCATTCCCAGAGGGCCCCAAGTCGGCCCAGAGAGGCTCCCAAAACACGTCAGACTGGCCAGGAGCCCACCAAGACGGGCGAAAATGGCCCTACGATGGCCCAAGACAGCCCAAGAGGCCTCTCCAGGCCCGAAGAGGCCAAAACCAGCTCTTGAGTTTCTGGAAGGATTGTTGCATTTGCTTCTTCTCGGCCTACCGGCGGCTGGAGACGGCCCCCTCGAAAAATCGCCCCAAGATCGCCCAAGAGGCCTCCAGGATGGCCCCAGAACGGCCCAAGATCAGCCCCCAAGACAGCCCCCAAGAGGGCCCAAAGACTGCCCAAGAGGCCTCTAACACGCCCAAGAAAGCCTCCAAGACGGCTCTGGACCACCCCAAGAGGGCCCCAAGTCGGCCCAGAGAGGCCCCCAGGACGGCTTCCGACGGGCCAGGAGCCCACCAAGACGACCAAAGATGCCCCCGAGCAGCTCCCAAAGGCCCCCAAGAGGCCCAAGGAGGCCCCCAAGATGCTTCCACCAGGCTCCAAGGAAGCTCCCAGGAGACCACAAGAGTGTCCACCTTGGCTCCCGAGATGTCCCCTCCTCCTCCTCCACCTCCTCCTCCGCCTCCTCC